ACACAGCGGTAAACTTCTCTCTTACTTTCATAAAATAGCACTTAAAATATTGCTTGCAGAGTCAAGGCGTTTATGGTGGCCACCAGTGTTGGCTACTTTTGTAAGGCAGTACAGTAATATATAAAATGTAGGCAGTAATGAAGAAATATAACGAGTTACTCATTATATTTCTTAATATTCTGACAGGTTCTGAGTTCCAAAACGCATTACAATTTCTGGACCACAACACGGACTCACTTAACATGAAAGCAGTCTATTACATCACTTACAGTATAAGCTATATTCATAATCGGTCATTACCATCAGATTTTCTTGACTCCCTCGGGAGTAACAAAGTAAGTACAATCCATCCATCCACCCATCCATTTTCTGAGCCGCTTATCCTCAAAAGGGTTGCCCGAAAGACATCTGGGATAGGCTCCAGCACCCCGCGACCCTTTTGAGGATAAAGCGGAGAGATCTTTTTTTCTGCTTGGCACTGCTCCTGTCCCCCCTGCCCCCTCACCCCCCCCACATATCTCTGCTTGCTGACATGGTCAAATGTGCTGTCTTCTGTGTTGATTTAATCTACGAATGTATTTATTTATTTTATTTTTTTGGAAAACGACCATGGAATTAGTCAACTGGACTCTCACTATGGATGAAATTTTTTCGACAAAACAAGTAGTCAGTGAGAGGCCTTCTTGCCCCTCTGGGACTTTTGATGCTGGGTACACTTTTGATCCCTGACGGAAGTGGAGATTGATTCGCCTGACAAGACTGTCCGTAGAGCAGTGGTCCCCAACCTTTTATTTGTGTCACGGACCAGTTGAGACAAGTCCATACTTTTCGCGGACCGGTGTCATGGGAGAATCCCGCCTATTGCGTTGGAGTGACCCTAACCACGACAAGTAGGAAATTTTAGAGACAAAAGGACACGGACACCCATGGCAAGACACTGGCCAGGAGAGATGAAACCACAGTGAGTTGGTCGGATCTCTGCAGTTTCATCCCATACCTGAGCTTTTTATTAAAAGTCACATGAATTGCAACAGCACAATCAATACGAGAATAAATATGACATGACACGTATGGGGACTTCAACCCTTGTTGTATTTGTTTACTCTGTCCATATCTGCGCCCCTCTGTCTCTGGCTTTATATGTATTTGAAGCTGGGCGACCAGGTTGCCCTGACTTTGTCAAGGGTGGCAGCCCTACTTGTGTTCCTGGGATTGTAGTTAGTATGCTATTCTGTAAACAATGGTAAAATGAGTGAAATAATATATTTCACTAAATATACACATATACGATATATATATATATATATATATATATATATATATATATATATATATATAAGTATATATATATATATATATATATATATATATATATATATATATATATATATATATATATATATTATATATATATATATATGTGTAGTTGTTTAGCCATGTATATGATTGGAACATTACATTTGATAATATGGTTATATATAATTTCCTTCTCAACTGGCAACGATTTTTTTCATCGCTTTTAAATTGCCAGTTTTAAAGCACCGGGGCTGACAACAAAGATAGTTATTTTATGAACGTGTTTTCATTCCTTTCAAACTGTTTTATTCAAACAAAATGAAGAATAACATCAATTAACAGAGTGAACTAAGAAATGGACCAATCAGGAATTATAAATACGCGTTGTAATGTAAACATAATAATACTGAAAATATGATCCGACATCCTGTGTTGGCATCTTTGCTACTTGCAAATGTGACTGATCAAAAGATGACACGATTGATTGCTTCTTTCATCCAGTGGCTACTGGCTTGTTATTAGCAATGAAACTGCTAATGTTTACGTGGGCAACCTCTGCTCGCATTTTCATGCTTTCCGCTTGATCGCTTGTGTGCTTGTGTGTCTTGCCTTGTTCTTGAAGACATAACACGCGCGACAGCTTCCTCCTCCACGTTGCTCTGCAGATGCCGCCAGGGAATGAACTTCTCTTGTCCAAATCGCTTCATTATCGGAAGTTTCAGCTGCCCCATTTGCTGCACATTTCGTTTTTTTTTTTTTTGGTCAATTTGCTACTCTTCCTTTCTGTGTACTGCTTCTTCCATTTATTGGCAGATTCTGTCTATTTTCAAACAAACCAATGTTCGAAGGTGGACTCCGCTTGGCAATTTCCACCACGACTGCTCACAGCGCTCAGCTCTTTGAGGATTTGAAAAGAGACCCGCATCTTGTCTTTTTTCCACCTGCGTTCACGTTTGCAGCATTGTTGTTTAGCTACAGGAGTTCTCTCATTAAGTCGTGGCTCAGGTCTTAATTTTGGTCACATAACTTCCAATGGAGCCATAGATTGGATTGCCCATTCTCTCTTCAATGTTAATTTTTTTTTTTTTTTAATTTTTTTTTATTTTCTAAATAATCATAGCTGGGCGGCCCGGTAGTCGAATGGTTAGCACGTCAACTGCATAGTGCAGAATTACCGGGTTCAATTACAGCTCTGGCCTTCCTGTGTGGAGTTTGCATGTTCTCCCCGGCTTCGCCTGTGTGGGTTTTCTCTGGGTACTCCGGTTTCCTCCCACATTCCAAAAACATGCATGGTAGGCTGATTGAACACTCTAAATTGTCCCTAGGTGTGAATGTGAGTGCGAATGCTTGTTCGTTTCTGTGTGCCCTGCAATTGGCTGGCAACCGGTTCATGGTGTCCCCCGCCTACTGCCCGAAGACAGCTGGGATAGGCTCCAGCACCCGCCGCGACCCTTGTGAGGATAAGCGGATCGGAAACTGGATGGATGAATGGATGTTCTAATCAAAAGGAGGAAGTCCGGATTGGTGGCTATGATGAGCACATTTTGCAGTGCACAACTTTTCAAGTGGCTTAACAGCATGATTGAAGTGTAATGTCTTTAAGTGGTGCCCTGATTTATTTGCCGTTGTGCTGTCCGCTGCAAGCATGTTTGGACACAGTTAACACAACGCTCTTTCCTCGTCTCCCACTGTAGTAACAATGAAGCCCAGCGCTACATACACTTTGTCAAACTTCCTTGTCTTAGTTTTCGGGTGACTTTCTTTTGTCACATTATCTTCGTCTCTCTCCACCTTTCTTTTCATATTGTCTCTTGGGAAGCGGTAGGGAACTCCGGTTCCTTGGGAACCATATCCTGCCTGTTTTAGATCCCTCCCGACTCCAACATACCTGATTCTCAACTCAACTGTATTTATAGAGCACTTTCAAACAGCCATCGCTGCATACAAAGTGCTGTACATGGAGCAACTAACATATACAACACTAAAGCAATAAATCAGTAACAAAGATGTTAGAAAGCACGAAACAGTAAAACGAAGATCAAATCTGAGTCATGCTGAGTCAAATGCCAACGAATGGAAGTGAGTTTTGTGGCGGGTTTTAAAGATGGGCAGCGAGGGGGCTTGCTGAATGTTCATTGGGAGGTCATTCAGGAGAGAGGGACCAGCAACGGAAAAGGCTCGATCCCCTCTAGGCCTCCGTTTTGTCCTTGGTACTTCTAATAATGTCTGGTCCGCAGACCTGAGGCGCCAGGCAGGTGTGTAGGGGCGGATGAGCTCAGAGAGGTAAGGTGGCGCGAGGTCATTTAAAGATTTGAAAACAAATAATAGGATCTTAAAAAGAACTCCAAAATGTATAGGGAGCCAGTGAAGGGATGACAGGGTAGGAGATATGTGCTCCCTCGAGTACCAGTTTCAACTGTTCATGGTTGTTTCAGACCTCTACGGAGCTTGCTGATGAGCTGACCATTTGAATCAGGTGTGTTCAGGTAGAGAGAGATCTAAAACAGGCAGGATATGGCTATCGAGGAACCAGAGTTCCCTAACCCTGCTCTTGAGGTTTTGTTTGCTGCATTTCATACCGCCTGCCCGGTGCAAAAAACAAAATGAAACAAAAAAAACTACACGATAGAGGTAATGCTCTCTATGCACTCTCTGACAATTAGGGCGCCACTGCCAACTGCTGCAGTGGATGTGCAATTACATTTTATTCTATTCTCTTCGGCAAAAAAAGGATGTTCCCCAGAGTCACACGCGCCCCCCTTGGCATCGCATCGCTCCCCACTTTTTGAGAAGGACTGGGCTAAAGTAACTCCAATCGGACAAATTGCAATACACACCGCAAGAAAAACAAAATGAAGACTTTGGAGTGGCCTAGTCAAAGTCCTGATCTGAATCCTATTGAGATGCTGTGGCATGACCTTAAAAAGGCGGTTCAGGATCAAAAACCCTCCAATATTTCAAGTTGTCAAGTTTCAAGTCAATTTTATTGTCAAATGTGCAACATAGAGCACAGATGAAATTTCTTTCCTCTCAACTACAGGAAAGAGAGAGTCCAATGTGGCTGAATGACAACAATTCTGCAAAGATGAGTGGGCCAAAATTCCCCCACAGTGCTGTGAAAGACTCATTGCAAGTTATCGCAAACACTTGATTGTAGTTGTTGCTGCTAAGGGTGGCCCGACCAGTTATTAGGTTTAGCGGGCAAACATTTTTTCGCACAGGGCCATGTAGGTTTGGATTTTGTTTTCCCTTGAATAATAAAAACTTTAATTTCAAAACTGTATTTTGTGTTTACTGGTGTTATTTCTGACTAATATTTACATTTGTTTGATGATCTGAAACATTTAATTGTGACACAACATGCAGAATCAAGAAGGGGGCAAACACTTTTTCACACCACTGTAAGCCCGTTGGTAAAGGAGGGCCTGTCTATGCCACAGAAAACACAGTTTCACTTTGAAAAATATGCGGGGATCTTGCGCACCAACCTCGACATATTTGTCACTTGGCTTGCACACATAACGTTATTTTTAGTAAGGCTATGTTCGGCTTTTGCTGATTAGATTGGTCTTAAATCAAACAAAATCACACCTTTGTTTCTTGAGATGTTTTTATTGTTTTACTGATAAAGAACTCAACACTAGTATCTCTTAACAATATAATTAAATATCAAATAAACACATCTATTTTTAAAAATTCGTGCCTCGAGTAGGTTTGGGAGTGGGTGGGGCCAGAAAAATATTGGTCGGTGGGCATGGCCCCCGATCGCCTGCCCACGGCAACAGGAGTGGTTGTTTGTAGAGAATGAGATCAGAGTAAAGTGATACAAAATGAGTCAGTGTAGTACGTCATACATTGGAGTCAAAGTTTTACGAAATCCTTCTTTAGCTTTTTAATAATTCATTTCCAATATTTATTTTGAATCACTGACATGAACGACAGCCTCCAAGATGAGGATGAACAGCATCTCAGTGTAGTGTATGAGTCTTCAAAGCACAAATAAGATATGAAAGAAAATATATTCAAAACTCACAAAAAAAAAAACCTGTGAAATGATTCAGTATTCAGTAGTTTTAGTAGTCTTTTCTTCTGCCGCTGCTTTCCAATTGCATTCCTTAGCTCATTTGTTTCTCCACCATTTTCTGTTCGAGAGCTGATTCCAATTTGTTTATTTATTTTACATCTGCTGGTGGTTCCCTCCAGCGGCAGTAGGAGGAAGCGAAGCACTGCCACCCTGTTGGACATCCACAAATCCCATCCTCTGCCTCCTCTTCCTCTGCTCAGTCATCTACACACACACACACACACACACACACACACACACACACACACACACACATGCACACAAACGAATTTGTACTCTTTATTTTCATTCCAATAGTTCATAAGTATGATCACACACTTATTTGACACCTCATATAGCCAGCGTAGAAAGAAAAAAGGTAAAGAAATTGCGAAATTTACAATCAGCATTCACTTTCACTTACATCAATTTCTTGCATAATGTCTTTTACTTTGCTTCCTCCATCTTTCATTTTAATTACTTTTATCCTGCCTTCAAGCATAAAAGCTTTTCTTTTGTTCACTCCGTGGTCTGTCGCCATTTTAGCAATGCAACGTTCGTGCTGCGTCTGAAACTAACAATAACAAATACTTCCTGTACTACTGCGCATTTGAAAGCCACTGTGGTGTTTGCTGTTGCCGTTTCCGAGCTAAGCAGTAGGAGTCGCTGCAGGCTGAGGTTGGATTAGACTTGCGGAAGGCTTGTTTTCGTTGTAGTGGCTCTCGTTGCGAGGCAAGGGCAGAGAAAAATATTTCGTATAACGCAACAGGGGGATTTTTCGTTGTAGGGGGAGCAGAAAAGTGGGAATGGTTTTAATGCACGAAGATTTTTTTCACACTAGGGGGTATTTTCGCCCATGTAGGTTTCGTTGTCGAGGAGTTTCACTGTATACCCAAACTATGTTTCTTGGCAGCGATGCGGAGGGCTCAGTTGCGCGAATGTCATTTGTTCCTTTATTTCATGTGTATATCTATCTATCTATCTATATGGCCGAGTGGTTGGCACGTCAACCTCACAGTGCGGAGGTACCGGGTTCGATTCCAGCTCTGGCCTTCCTGTGTGGAGTTTGCATGTTCTCCCCCAGGCCTGCGTGGGTTTTCTCTGGGTACTCTGTTTTCCTCCCATGTTCCATAACCATGCATGGCAGGTTAATGGAACACTCTAAATTGTCCCTAGGTGTGAGTGTGAGTGCGAATGGTTGTTTGCCTATGTGTGCCCTGCAATTGGCTGGCAACCGGTTCTGGGTATCCCCCGCCTACTGCTCAGAGGCAGCTCTGGGTAGGCTCCAGCACCCGCGACCCTTGTGAAGATAAAGCGGATCAGAAAATGGATGGATGGATGGATGTGTGTGTGTGTGTGTGTGTGTGTGTGTGTGTGTGTGTATATAACTCCTTTTGCATGTAACAGTCATGTCTCTCTTTTCAGTTTTTTTTTCTGATGCAGTGTTGTGAGATAGGTGGGCGAAGCCCGTGATCTGTAATCGATGGTTTTATAGGTGTAGGTGCAGCTGTGTGCTCGTGTCAGACTACACACATTTCTGACCTCATTATGGTTTTAAAACATTTCAATTCTGTATTCCTCATATTTTCCTGCTCAGCTAGTTTTTCGTTCTGTTGCGCTTACAATTTCTTGTCTCCCATTTCTCCTGTCCCACTCTAATTACCATATTTTTCTGACTATAAGTCATACTTTTTTCATAGTTTGGCTGGTCTCGTGAGCCAAAAACGTGATGTCTGCGTAGCTTGAAAATCTTTCCACTGCTGCATCATCCTCTCTTGGCAAGCTGGCAAGCTGGCAAGTGGTCTTCTACTTCTTATTGTGTCATAGTGTTGGAAATGCGCGGACAGAGCGGTGCTGCTCTACGTGGACTGCGGCATGAAGGGGAACTACAGTATCGTGTAGTACGCAGTAAAAAACTAAGGCATTTTTTGAACATTTATGGACATCAGTCAGTGTTTGCTCGAATCCACAAATGTTCAAAACTTGGGGACCTTGACCGTTTCATGTGTGGCGCAGGATTATTTTTTTTTTCTACACATTTCGTTTTTGTCCTTTCTGACACTGTTGACCTTTCGTTATACAGTGATCCCTTGCTCTAACGCGGTTCACTTTCCGCGGCTTCGCTGTTTCACGAGTTTTTTTAATGCAGTTTTTTTTATGCTTTGAAACAGCGAATTGCGTTCTGCATCCTGATTGGCTAAGGCACTGCGTTAAGGTTGTATGATTGCCTTTTTACAACTGAGCCAGCAGAGGGCAATGTAACCCTACTCTACACTTGTTCGTGGTGCATGACATAGTAAGCAATATAAAAGGGGCACGCTGTTTTTCATTTCTCTCTCTCTCTCTCTCTCTCTCTCTCTCTCTCTGTCTCTCTCTCTCTCTCTCTCTCTCTCTCTCTCTCTCTCTCTCTCTCTCTTTCTCTGCCTGTTCAAATAAACACGCCGATGTATGGTTGAAGAAAACACCTCATCATGTCATTCTTGGGATGTTGGGCAGAAGGATGCCAGTCTACATGCGCTGTGAAGTAACCCTGCTAACACACTGACCGACATGAACAGTCTCCGCACCTCGTCTTCTGTACAGTTTGCCAAATTTACCTTTGCAAATTTTTGGTCTTTGGTTTCAGTGTATCAGTGGCGGATGCTGGTCTTTCAAGGAGGGGAAGCTCAATTTCGGCCTACATCATAAAATGTGTCCGTTTATTTATACGTGAATTCTCCTCTCCGTTCCTTTTCAAAAAAATGAAAAGGAAAAGGATGCCTTCACCATAAGATCATTGGCTCATTTCGCTGCCAATCAAAATGAGATTCAGCCTCAGCGAGATTATCCAATCATCATGAAGAAAAGCTAAGCTTCTGCACACCCACTGTCCGGAGACTCCCAGATACGCTGAGCCTCCAATGGGCGGGACAAAACCAGCATTTATCCAATGACTCGTCTCGTTTCAATGCATTGGGCCAACCTAAAAGAACTATCTAGACGCCCAGCGTCCGCGCGGTCGATGCTCAGCGTCCACACAGTTTAAAGCACAGTGAAACTGTGGGAATGAATGAGAAGAGAGTCGCGTCGTAACCAGTAATAAGAAGCTGATTCGGAACAAATGTTGAGCGCGTTGTAGCGCATATTTAGTCAATGACATGTCCACACAATTGTACCTACACACATATATTTGATCACTTACTTTTTGACATTTTAGGGGAAGCTGAGCTTCCCTTGCAGTCTTAGAGCAATCGCCTCTGCATTGTATACATAGTTCAGTATTGTATAATAACTGTAAACAATAAAGTTGACTGTCAAGTACAAAGTACAACTTTATATTCAAATGTGCTGTATGTATTTGAAATTTCGTCCCTCTCAAATTTTTTTTTTTTTAATAAATCCTACTTCACGGATTTCACTTATCACTGGTTCTTTTTGGAACGTAACTCCCGCGATAAACGAGGGATTACTGTACTTTACTGATTTGTTTATTTTTGCATTGACATTGTTGTGTCACATTTTCAACACACTCACTTTGTTCTTTATTTAAGAACCCAGATTTTGTACTGGTACTCTGTTGTTTTGGGGAACAAATTTGACATAAAAAGCAGGACAACAAATTGTGTTTTTTGAATATAAACCACTCCAAAGAGAGACAGATCATAATCTCTGTTGCTGACACTGCAGATTTTCAAAGATATCTACAGGACAGCTCTACACATTGACAGTATTGTGTGCATATCGTAACCCAGCACCATCGCTGTCCCCCCGCGGATAGCGAGGGCCCACTTTATTAGGTCCTCATATTTTACAATAGAAGTGCTTTGTTTTTTTAATGAAATGCAATAAACAGAAAAAAATGTGTTCTTCCAGGATCTTGGACAGATTAATGGCACTTCCATTCCCTTCACTGGGGAAAGTTAATTTGAGAGAAGAATGAATTGAGTTACAAGACTGGCCACGAAAGGAACTAACCTCCCTAGCCAGTGTACCACTTCATGTAATCTGTTTTGTTTAGCTTCTTTGCATACCTGCTCTTTGAGCTCTGTAAGCTGCATGGTGAGCGTCATCACCACTTTCATGGTCGAGGCAAGCTTGTCCTGCAGCATCCTCATTTCGTTCTGCTCGCCGTCACCATCGGTGACTACGAGTGACATGGCCTGCATGCGGGGGAACCAATCCAGGTTGTTGTTCTGCAACACAGCAGGCGTTCAGGAATGTAGTTGCGGTCTCAGGGGCATGATGAACATCTCTTGTACCTTGATCATCATGGCCACATAGCTCTCTGGCCCCGTGTAGTCTGTCTTGTTCTTCTCGCGCACAAGAACGATAAAGTACAAGTAATTCCAGATGTTGTGCTCCAGCTTGATATGCTCCTCAAATGACACAGTCTTGTTGTCAAACTTGTCTCGTTCCAGACCTGAAAGTACAAACTACATCACTGGCTGTGACAACTGAATACAGTGGTTCCATGACCACTCTCGTAAATCGAAAAACTCTTTATCTCAAATAATTTTAATGAATGGAAAGCCATTAACCCATTCCAGCCTCCACGCCTCCAAAAAAAAAAAAAAAACACCCAAAAAGAAAAATGTAACATATTTTTTACATGAAGAACGGTGCTTGATAATCCATCCATCGATCCATCCTTTTTCCGATCCACTTTATCCTCACGAGGGTCACGGGGGGTGCGCTTAGCCTATCCCATCTGTCTTCGGGCAGTAGGCGAGGGACACCCTGAACCAGATGCCAGCCAATCGCAGGGCACACACGGACGAACAACCATCCATGCTCACACTCACACCTAGGGACAATTTAGAGTGTTCAATCAGCCTACCATGGATGTTTTTGGAATGTGGGAGGAAACCGGAGTCCCCAGAGAAAACTCACGCGGGCACGAGGAGAACATGCAAACTCCACACAGGAAGGCCGGAGCCGGGATTGAACCCACGACCTCTGCACTGTGACTACCAGGCCACCGCTTCACAGAACAGCTGACATAAAATAACAAAATATGGTAACATAACACAACATATGATAAAAGATGGACTGTCATGCAATCGTAACCACTATTCCTAGATGAAAGAGGAGAGAATCAGTGTCCTTTCACCAGAGAATCAGAGATGTCATGCTCAAAACATGCATGGCGTGCCACATGTCTGCTACAAACTAAGTTTCAAAGTAAACAAGAAGCTGCAGCGTCCACTGAAGAAAAGAGATTGGTTCACTTCTCTTCCCATGTAAATCCTCTTTAATTCCAAGCACCAAATCTCAGTTCCAAATACACATCTGCGCTCCATGCCTACGCTCCTCTCTCCTCATGCTCAGCTCCAGCAGCGATCCATCCAGCCAGCTGCACCAAACCAGGCTTTCCAACTTTCGAACAAAACGGGGCTGTGAAAAACGCTGCCGTGACAGGCACAACAAACACAAGTGCCTAGGGCTGTCAAGTGGCGACAGTCAAATAGCACTGACAGTCTCCCCATCAAAATCAGTGCCGGGACATGCATGCTGCCGAGAAGGCACAACCATCAAGCACAGATTCTTCTCCTTCAACCAATGTCATCGCCAAAACGCTGAAAACAGTCCACAATTTGCCAATTCAGGATATGGGATCAGTTTCTGTGTTTTCTTTATGTAACCTGTCAAGTTATTCCAATGATCTCCAGGCTGGAGAGGAGTCAGTGGTGCCAAGTCATGATTTCATCTTTTCCTTGTAGGCGGATTTCAGTGCCATATTTTCCGCACTAAAGGACACACTGGATTATGAGGCGCACCTTCAATGAATGGCTATTTTGTAAATGTTTTTTCATACATTAGACGCTTCACATCAAAAGGTGAAATCTACAATGACTCCACTAGATGGTGCTACGCTCCTTCCATTCAACTCGAGAGGCGTCTGTTCAACTCGAGAGGCGTTCATGACCGCCTCTGAAAAATGTAAATTAACTATTACTGTACTTAAATGAAACTACGAAAATTGAAAAAAATACATCAAAACAGAAAATGAAGCGAGGAAATCACAAAATAAATTCTGTAT